TGTGTTATCTTCCCATACCGCACATTAATCTCTATCCTTTTTCATTCACTTTGCACTTACAATTTGTGCCAATAGTTTCACTCTCCAGTCTCACACCATGTGAAAGTTAGTATTTCATTTTAGCAGAATACGATGACAGTTGGCTTACTGATGTTTTGTTTTTATTTGTTTAGCCACTAATTTTTTTTCAAGTATGTATCTTCTCTCTACAACCAGACAGTAAATTCCTTGCAAGAGGAGACTCTGTCTTAAACCTCTTATAACCCCTCTCTTAATAAAAGGTCAGCTAATGTACAATGTTCCCCACAGACTCACTGTTTGAGAACTCAGCACATGTGTTGAGAACCCAGTTCATGATGTTGTTTTGGGAGGTTGTGGAAATTAGAGAGCAAAAGGCATGACTGAAAGAAGTGGGTCACTGAGGATCAGCTTTAAAGGTTATAGCAAAGCCCTGCTTCTGGCCCAGGCTCTTTGTTTCCTGGTCCTTTCAAGCCCCACCACAAGTTCCTGCCACCACCAGCCAAGCCACGTCAACCGCCATGCCATCCCTGCTGTGATGGACTACTGAACTGTGAGCAGAGAAGCATCACCTCTCTTTCAGTTGCTCTGTCAGGTACTTTGTCACAGTGATTAGAGAAGTAACTAAAACTGGTAATAAACTATGACTTCTAATGTGTCATCCTCACTTATACTCATTGACAAACAAAAGATGCAGTAAAACTACTTGAATGAGGTAACAGAGCAGACAGAGCTCTATCACTGTTTTACAAAGGTTAACTCTGAGCATAACTACATACTTAACATTTGACAGATGCTAGCTCATGTGGCTATGCTGCTTTGTGAAATATAATTCTACCTATTTTGTGATCTAACTTATACTTCTAGGGGTACAGTAAATTTTATAAATCTATCTGAGACTCCTTTCCTTAATTCCAAAGTCCACATCCAATTGCCTAGCCAACATTTCCATGTGGATAACAATTGACTTGAATATTTGAGCCTTTAGACTCCATCCTTACCCACCCCTACCCCACAGGACCCCAAAATATTTCACCAATTGCACTACTTCAATTGATGGATGACAGCTTAAGTTTCCTCAGGTCAAGAAACACGAAGTTATCCAGGATCTTCTCTTTCTCTCGAGGGCTAGATATCCCTAGATATATCCCTAGAATTCTGCTGGTTCTACCAGAGGATTAAAATGCTTACATTGTTCTAACAATTTCCATCACCCTCACTGTTACCACTTTAGACCAAGCCACCATAACCCCTCACCTGGATAACTGCAATTGCATTCTACCTACTGTCCCTGCTTCCATCCTTGAAAAACTCTTGTACTGAAATTATCAGTGGCTGCTCAGCTTACAGAGTAGAAGCTATTGTCTTTACCATAGCCTACAGAATACTACATGGATTAAGACGGGTTCTATTTCCAGATACATCTCCTGGTATTACCTTTCCCTCAGTCCCCCCTCTTTAACCACACTAGCCTGTTTCTACAGCATGTTAGTTATAAGGCCTTTGCACTAGCTTTTTTCTGATATGTTCTTGCCCTTAGTATGTTCATGCCTAATCCATTTCTCCTTAAGGCCTTATTCAAATGCTCCCCTCTTGTCAAAAGTATCTTAACTGCCCAATTCTAAACTGAAGTCTTTTTTCTCCTTCCTGTTCTTTCTCTATAGCATCATCACCATGGTTGTCATGAGACATCTCTTGGACATCCAGTACAGAAGCCTGACTGAGAGGAGTTCCAGATGCTGCCCTCCGAACCCCATCTCTGTGTGTGCATCTAGGCAATGTTTCCCAAGGACTACTCCTGGCTGGTCAAGGAGCATGGCAGAAATGCTAACGTGAGCTTGTTCCTGCAAGAACACAGGGCACAGAACCACTCTGGTAGCTGACTTTGGCTCTAGCAATCTTGGATGGCCTGGCCAGTGTCTCTTACACTGCAGTGCTAAATCAGATGTTCCCACACAATGTTCTTGTCTCTCCTTCACTGGGTGTCCCAAACTGTTCCAGCTCCCACCATTTCTGACTCCCTCCCAATTTTCTTTCATACATTCATTTCTCCTAATAAAGTTTTGTTTACTTAGCTTCTTTTGACATTTATTTCTCAGAAAACCCAGAATAATGTAATTCCTCACCTACCACATTCTTATTATATTCATCTTTTATTGCCTACCAGATTATAAATTGCAAGAGAAGAGGAATTTTGTTCATTTGAGTATCCGTAGTGAACACTTACCACAGCATCGACAGATGCTCAGTAAATAAACTCCAGATGAAGGACTAATGAATGCTTTTTAACTATCAGCAATTATTAGTGTTATCCATTATACAAATGAGTAAACATAATATCTACCAGCTATCACAGCTCCGCTGCCTCCTAAGTTGCTCTTGTTTTCTGATTCTCTTACTTTCTCTTGCCTTCTGGTATAAAAACCTTTGAGTTTCTCTATAGCAGAAATGAGATTTGAGAAATAAATTGATTTTGGGAAAAGATCCAGATTAATAATTGGGTGACTGCCCATTTGTTTTGGGAAGAAAATACACAGTTCTGACTGAGACATTTATCACAGCCACTTCTTGTCCTTAATATCACTCAGGATCTTCAGCTAAACAAAATCACACGCTTTGAAGATTTGATTTTTTTTTTAAGTTTATCCAATAATAGTCAAACTTGGCCTATGCCTGGTTTTGGTCTCCTAGTCTGTTCTCCAAAGTGTCTCTTAAGGGAAGAACAAAGAACAATTTTTCTCAAGCTTGATTTCAGACTCTAATTTTAATTTTAACTTTTACAATTAGCTTACAAAGCAAGAGTTTCCATACAGGGTTTTCACAGCTATGCCATTTTGGTTGCACAGCCCCCATCTCCCTGCCTTCCTTCCTCACTGCATGCTTTTGTGGAGCATGGCACTTCCCACTTACGTTTTGTTCTGCTGTCTTCCCTACCACCTCCCTTAGACCCTCTTTTTCCAATCTCATGGGCCCCTTTCTAGTTTCCTGATCCTTACCCATAGTTACTCCCACAGGATACACATATTTAACAGAGGTTAGGATCTGCATATGAGAGAGAGAACATAAGCTATTTGTCTTCTGAGTCTGAGTTACCTTGCTTAAAATAATGTTTACCAGTTTCATCTGTTTTCCTGCAGATTTCACAATTTCATTTTTCTTTGTGGCTGAATAAAATTCCATTGTGTATACGGACTACTTTTTTTTCTTTTTAATCCACTTGGCCGTTGATACATACCTAGGCTGATTCCATTTCCTTGTGATAGTGAAAAGAGCAGCATTAAACATGGATGTGCAAGTGAGGTAGTAGGAGGTGATATCCTTCAGGTACATGCCCTGGAGTGGTATAGCTGAATCATATGGTAGTTCTATTTTTAATTTTTTAGGAGACCTCCACAGTGATTTCTGTAGTGACTGCACTAGTTTACCCTCCCACCAGCAATGAATAAGTACTCCTCTTTTCCACATCCTCGCCAGCTTTTGTTGTTTTCTGCTTTCTTGATGGTCTCACTAGGGTGAAAGGAATCTCAGAGTAGTTCTAATTTGCATTTCTCTGATGGCTAGAGATAGTGAACACTTCTATAAAGCATTTGTTGGCCATTTGTATTTCTTCTTTTGAAAACTGTTCATTTTGTTGGCCCAGTTATTGATTGTCAGCTTTACTTCTTTGATATTTAATTTTTACAATTCTTCATATATTCTAGATATTAACCCCTTATGATTTTGGACTCTTGAAAGTAGTGAGCTTTCATCTGAGGGTGACTGACTCATGGTTTTGCCTCTGTGCTTGGGGAGCTCCAAAGGACAGCATGTGGCAATCTTACTGCACTAGGATCTCTAAATTTCTCCAGTAGAGACTAACACAGGCTTCTGCTTAAGGACTTTATGATCAGTTGTAAGTTCCAGGGAGCTTAGTAAGAGAAGGATGCTGGGATCCAGGAGTGATCTAACCTTCGGTCTGTGTCTCACCTTGCCCTGTGTCCTTGGGCATGACTTGATGAGTGGCTGTTACAAAGTCAGACAGCTGATGTTCGTATCCTAGCTTTGCTGCTTATTAACTGTGGAAAATGACCTCCCTGTGCCTGTTGCCTCATTTTCAAAATAGGAATAATAACACTTATCACTTAGTACCTCCTAAGATAAATCAGATGAAATGCATTTGTCTGTGGGGAATATTCAATAAATATTAGCTACTACTGTTACTAATTATCAAGAACACAAAAAAATACAAGCAATGTATTCAATGTCTAGTAGATTCTTTTAACCTCTTCAACTGTATCTTGATATAAAGGAGCTGATAGTATCCAAACACATAATAAGGAGGTAGATGGTAAATAGGGTTTACTACATCAAAATGTAATTAAAGAACTAGTAAGGAAAAGAAAACAAAGTCAATTGCAAAGCTTCCTAGTCTCTGCTTTGACCTGAGTTTCACTGAGCTTCACTGCCTTTCCCTAAAGGGTAGAGACTGTCTACCCCCAGTTACAGAATGCCTGGTCACACTTTCATAAGCTCACTCCTTTCTCTTGCATAACTGCTGAAGTCAAAATGGGCACCTTCCCGACAGCTAAGAGTGTCATTTCTGAATGAGGCCCAAGAAAGAGGTACATTCCACAGAGATCCAAGTAGAACACCATCACTGGATAGCACCTAGCACTCCTGGGGAGCCAACTTTTTAATATCGCCACCTTAACACCTTTGTTTTTTGAAAGACCTAAGATTCCAAGGTTTGTAACAAAAGGCTGGAGGTGGAGCATTGGGAGGGGAGGAGAACCTGGTGCAAATATACCACCCTAAGAAGTTCTCAAGTAACTATAGAAGCTTCTGCTATTACCTAAAGCCAAGCAGAGGGAGAAAGGCAAACAAGTGACTTGGCACTCATGCCCCAGTCCAGCTGAGGCGCTCTCTCTCTCTCTCTCTCTCTCTCTCTCTCTCTCTCTCTCTCTCTCGTTCCGGGGCCAGAGTGAGGTAAACTAACTTTGAACAAACACACACAGACTCACAACACTGGGTGTGGGGCTGGAGCACAGGCTGATGCCAAGCCCCGCACGTCAGTTCCCTGTGCCACTCCTGGAAAATAATGAATTGGGTAAGGAACGGTTAATAAGAAAATGTGCCTTGCTAACTATGCACAGTACAACAAAGAGCTGGCAGCTCCTGAAGGAAAAGGGCTTGTGCCGCTGCCGTTCAAACTTGTCAGTCAACTCGTGCCAACAGCCTCAGCGTCTGCCTCCCAGCACACCCTCATTACATGTGTCTGTCTGGCCTGATTCGTGCATCTGCTCAGAGACGCTCCTGACAAGTCGGGAATTTCTCCCTTTCTCCCGGAGCAAAGAGCGGATTTTTTCCCTGCATCTCTTCTGTCACCGGCAGCTTTTCTCCCCTAAAGAGGCACCTTGATTTATGATAGCTTGGGACCTGCTTCGGTGTCTGCCTCTCCTTGACGTCTAGAATGGAAGAAGCTGAGCTGGTGAAGGGAAGACTCCAGGCCATCACAGTAAGTCTTCAGAGTTCTAAGTCTTTAAGGTGGTTGCTGAGAGAACAGCACCGCTGCTAACTTGTCCTTGTCATGGAGTGCTCCTGAGTGGAAAAACAGAGCTGTCAGCCTTCAGGGACTCCGGTCTGCTGCTTTTAACCCTTGGGACCCTCTGTGTCTCTGAGGTTCTAGACCCTCAAAGCAGGGGAAATGTTGGTGGGGTTTTTTTATTTTTTACAGATGGTATCTACATTTTAAACAGCAGTCAAGAATTTTTAAAGGCAGTTTGATAAATTGTCATTCACCTTCTATGATTATTAGAAATGCAATTTTTCCTTCAAGTTCTATTTTAAAGGTTAAAAAATAAGTACCAAACTTGGAAAGTTTGTAAGTCAGTGGATTGGGGGGGGCGGGGAGCTCGATTTGTTTAAAGAGGGAGATCAAAAGAATAAAATCTGAAACTTCTGATTTGTAGTATGGTGGTATGTTCCAGAAAGTCTAACAGAATTAAAGTGAAGGTTGGCATAGTCCACGAGGTGTTAAACAAGAGAAAAGTAAGGAAGTATGTATCAGTGGAGTTCTTGGAGATCAGTTTTCCAGCACAGGCTTAACCCGAATAAGATCTCAATAGAGGAATGCGACGCATGCATGCACGTATGCAATGGTTTGGAAAATATTTCCCTAATGCTGGGAAGAAAAATAGTGCATTTTATGTTTGTTCTAGGAAAGACTCAAAGTGAGAAATGAATTACTTTTCTTAAAGGATGTAGTTATTTTTCTTTTACTTTATAAATGCTGTGTCTGGCAGTAATCTGGAAACCATTTATCATCATTGACTATAATTTTTTTAGCATTTTTAAGGAAAAAATTTTTTTGCAAATTAACACCCCAATGTATCACATTTTCTGCCACTGAAATTCCCTGTCAAAAGGAAGTGAATACTTTTTAAAAACTGATATTAAATTCAATTAGGTAGAAGGTTATTGTTTACTCTTTAAATTCTTGCATCATAATTAACAAAGCTAGTTCTAATTTAGGATTTTTTTTTACTAAATGAATATAATGTCCCATTTCCACCCATAAAGGATTCAGAAAATCAAATTATTTTCTTCACTAGTGGTGAAGGACAGGAGTCTGTTAATGAGGTGGTGAGAAGCCAGAGTCCATTGATGAAGAGGACACTTTTCCATAGACAGTACTTTTTCATGTTTGAATTCCAATTGTTCTCTTTTTCCTTTTATCAAAAAGCTTTGGCCTGGATTTGTTTGGTTTGTTTTATTGTTAGACCCAGCCACAGTTTCAGCTGCCCCCCTTGAAGTGACAGGAACTCCACTGTGCTCTGTCATTCTTGGCATGGCCTTTTACACTACAGCTGTTGACTAAAGGTCCACTGGATTGTGTGAGTTGTGCAGTTCTAAGTTCCACTTTTTCCAGGCTTCTATCTCCTGAATAACCAAATGAAAACATGTACTGAGTGACACACACAAGTAAACCTTCTTCTGCACTTCCACTTTGGGGTATACCTCCTTTAAGCTCTTGTTATCTGTGGTGCATCTTAAACCTCTTACTAAAGTAGTACATGAGTTCAGCAGATGGCTGTGCACAGCTATTTGGGAACACTAGGAGTTTTCACTAGGTCTAAAGGTGAATAGCGATAAAAGATGGGTCAAATGCCTTAAGAGGAGTCAAGTGGGTAGATAGGTTCCTTAATATATAGACATATTTTTATTATTAAAATAATAAACTACTTTTAAATTATTCCATGAGCCTAAACATATCCCATTAGAGTTAAATAAGCCTTCAAAGTAAGATCACAAAGTTTAGCTTAGAAGTAATATTCTTAAGATTGCAGGGGAAAATGAAAAAAAGTTTATAGGAACAAATTTCCATTAGCCTACACCTCACCAGTCTAAATTGAGTCACATTTGTCACCACCTAGAGGGAAACAGAGCAGTGATGTGTCCATGGAAACAACACAATCTCTCTCCTCCCTCCTGGTCACCCTGGGAAATGCCAGTTTCTCCCCCCCCCCCCCCCCCCTCCCGGCGCCCCCGGGAAATCCCAGTTTCCCCCCCCCCCCCGCCCCCGGCCTTACCCAAGAAACTACCACAGCTACTCTCTGTCATAAATGAAAGAGCAGAGCATCCAGGGTGCTGTCAAAACCCTTTCAGTTTTGAAAGGTAGTACATCAGCAGAATCTCTGGTCCAGACTAAAACTCAAAGAAAATCTTTTAACTCTTCTCCTACATTGAAAGAATTGAAACAAAATGAGAAGGCAGTTTCCTAAGACACAGCAACTCACAGACTTCATTCTAGAAGGAAAAAATAAAAACTGTTACACTGCAAGATATACTTGGGTTTTTTTAATTTATTAAATGTGTTCCTCCAACCCTAGTAATGAGACAAAATGAACTTTACTATTATACTTACTCCACAGAGTTTCAAGCGCCTGAAAACTCATTATTTTCACTGCAAATAATTGGAAAAAAATGAATGTATCTACTTATAATTTGAATAAAGCAAATGATAATGCTCCTCTAAAAATATTTTTGACACAAGAAGTAGATTGAAGGTGGCACTTGGGCTCTAAAATTGAAGTGTAAATCACTGTATTGATGCCATTCACTTCTTGTATTATTAATTTAATTTATATTAGTTAGGAGTTTTCTAAGATTTAAAGGCAAAGACCAAATTATGAAAGTACCCAGAAGCAACTACCTAAAGGAGGACACCAGTTTGGGGTTCCAAACTATTTAATTACTTTCATGTTTTGCCTTTATTACTTCATCTTTGTACCAATTCTTCTTTTACCAAATCAATGACCAAAATACTCTCTAGCCAAAGAGTTCCATTTACAACTGTAATTCAAAAACACTTCACACTGATTATTGTGTTTCATACCTTAGAAGTCTTTTGAGGCTATTTTCTAGTTAGTGCACATTTTAACAAATAGATAATTTTTTATGAAGGGAAAGATACTGAGATTTGTAATTTGAAATCAATTTTAATGTTACTAGAAATGATGATGCCATCATCTCCAGCACTTTGAAAGGCGTAAGGAGGGAATGTAAAACAGACAGAGAGTTCACTACAGAGATCCTCTCTGAAAGTCCGCAGTGAGGAACACAGAAAAGAGCCATGTGGGTTCCTGGGGAACAGAAGGATCTCCTTTACATGAGTAACACCCCATTCACTCCACATCCTCCTCACCAGGAAACATCATTGTCTTATCTTCATTCCTACAGGAATGTTGAAAACACAATTCCTAATGTGGAAATACTCAAATAGGAGAAACTTCTGGATCTTAGACGTTTGGACATTATAGACTTGTTAAAGCAGTAGTGTTTCAGGGAAGAGTTCTGATGAATTCTGAGGCTATTATCAATTTGCAGAGAATAGACTCAATTAGGAAATGAAAGGTAACAAGATAGCTGGTATGTTTATTCTCACGTAAAGGCTTAATTTTGATGGTTGAGAACATGCCTATCAACTCATTTACTCATGCCTTCATTCAACTTATGATCATGTATTGAGTCTTACACATTTAAATGAAAAAGAAGTGAAGCCAGGTTTGGTGGTACATGCCTTCAATGCCAGCACTTGGGAGGCAGAGGCAGGTGGATCAAGGCCAGCCAGGTCTACATAGGGAGTTCTAGGTCAGCTCGGGCTACATAATGAGATCTTGCCAAAAAAAAAAGTAAAGAAAAGAAGTGAAGTGAGGAGAATTGCCTTGGGAGTGAGGTGGAAGGGGGCTGTAGTTGTGGGCAGAGTGGTCAGGGTGATACCTGGGCACAGGCATGAAGGAGGTGAACTCTGTCAAAGTTAGACAGCAATAGGAATCAGCCGCAGAGCACCTGCCTGGCCCTCCCTCTATTTGGAAAGGAGCCACTGAAAGTCCTGACGCTGGAATCTGAGCAACAGAGCCAGATTTGCAGACCAAAGCTGCTCATGACGCAAAATAATAAGGCAATCTCACATTTCCCTGGATCCACTCCCTATTTCTTTCCCCTCCCAAAGAATAGTTTCTTGAGTTGTAAATACAGGAATTTAGGAGGCAGGAAGTTCTTGCATAAAATAGGGGAAATATCTCAATTACAAAAACATATTAGCACTATAACCTAATACTAATTCTAGTGATGTCTTTAGCTCACGTTCCCTGTCCCTTGGCGCTCCCTGCTCACCTTGTTCTTTTGTCAATATTTGGGATCATCTAGCAGTCGATAAAGCAGCTAATGACCCCAGAGCAGGACCTCCTTGGAATCTGTGGGGCCCAGCGCACAATCAAAATGCAACGACCCTTGTTCAAAACAGTATTTGAAATTTTAAGCTACTGATACCAAAACATTAGACTCAGAGCTGGGCCCTTCTGAGCATGAAGTTTTGTGTGACATGTTCAAGAAGTCTGCCCCGAGTCCGTGTTCCAGGTCCTCCATTTCTATTTCTCCCTAGTCGTTATGCCAGCACAGATGAAACACTGAAATACAGAGCAATCTAGCCTGGATCTTAACCAAAGACATATTTTATGCCTTTGTTTGAACCACTATATTATTTAGAGTTTCAAGGACTTCTTAAAGTATCAGTGGTTAAAGGAATGTGTAACACACCATTGTTAACCAATGTACCTCATAGTTAAGACATAGCTATAGAAACAGCTCCCAATTTGTCATGAGCATGAAGATGGTGAGTGAAGACACAGTCATCTCCCAAAGAGGCTCTCTGCCAGAATGCTCAAACAATGAAGCCTCTGCACATTTCCCACTGCGCTGTACCAAGATTACATGTTTCTTCCAGAGAAGGAAAGGTTTCTTTAAACAAATGCACTAGGCCATGTTTCTTTGCCAAACATAACAGCCCACCCATACAGGAGACCATGTGATGAGATACAATAATTTTGATAGCTCATTAAGGAAACTGCCCTTTGATAACAGGGTGGTTTTTCCAGTGTGTTCCAGAATGATAAAGCAACTCCGCTAGATTCTCTACTGACAAGGAACTTTGCTGGACCTAACTGGATGGCCTAA